TCAATTTTCGGACCCGCGACAATTTACCCGCGACCCGCGACCCGCGCCGATAGATTATCTGTAATAGCGCACCCATACATGGTCTGTAATTACATGCTATGATTATAAGAGTTCGTGGAACTGAAACTAGGTTGACAGTATCTCCGTATAATTAGCTGTTAAACTACAATTTTATTTAATAGTTAAAGATTCAATACATATATCTTACACGTGTATGTTTGTGTAACATTTCGATACCGCAGTTGCTAAGAAGCAATCAAAGTATCTGGCTACCCTCCTCGGGTAGCTGATTCAAACTTGGTCTAAAGAATTTTTCTTTCCATCCTTCAGTAGTTGAACGGTAGTCGAATAATTAATTAGTACATTAGAGTAAAACTGATAGCGAGAGACAGCCATGGATGAAATAGTCATTTGGAAATCTATAATTCTGAGATAAATGGAAAAAAAAGTGTTGTTTCTGTTGTGGAAGATCATTTGTGATCTGTCCATTGTAAGCCACGATAACATACGCTCACCAAGTTTGTGATCTGATGTTTAATGATAACACCAAATTCCTCGATTTAGGCCAACAAGTACTAAAGTCCATGAATTAAATAAATTGTAAGTCATAATGTGACGATGCCGACATAACATAAAGCAAGCGTCAAACCTTTCTTTTCTTCTGAGGGGATTTGTTGATGCGCTCTGTTCATTGGCTGAGCTGACTTGCACCTTGCTTTCGTCACTTTACCATTCGCATCCGGGGATTTCATCCCTTCAGCTGAAGAGGGTCGTTGAGGCACGCTGGGAGACTTATTTCTATTTCCGGCCACCGTCTTCAGTAGCTGTCTAGGAGAGGGATATTTTAAAGAAATTTCTAATTTCTAGTCCAGATATAACCGTAACAATATTCTTATATTTTGCATATTTGTAAACCGACAGTTCTGAATGATTTGAACCCAGCAGTATCAGTATTCGTCTTGTGTGATTGTCTGGGCGAAGGTAGTGCGGAAAAAGAACCCGAGGGGGGGACTCCTATATGAAAAGGACGGGTGGGCCCGTCGGAAATGTTTAAAAGAGCCCCTAAGGGGTACCAAGATCTGTTTTGTGGGCATCGCTTGAAATTTTTCCACCCCTAGGAGGTACCAATTCTAAAACAATTCCTGAACTGACACTGACTTTTTTTAGCTCAGTCCCCTAAAACGTACCGCTAAAGCTCCCGCTATGGACCTTTTTATGCTGCACACCCTAAGAGGTAACATTAACCCACTTTAATTTTTAACCCTAAAAGGTACGACAAGGACCCCCGTCCCTGTAATCTGAGAGCCTCCCCCCTCCCATCCCCCGGGAAAAAGAGCTGTTGTTGGTGACTGACGTTTCGCCAATGTGAACGAAAATCATTTTATTATTCAAGGTGTATGTCAATGCATGGTGTCGTAAGTATGGTCTGTTGGAACCCTTTAGCCGTGTGATGGTATTGACTGTAAGACTCGTGTAACGTTTGTCAATGGTCGTCGGTTCGCTCCTGTCCATTAAGTTACTAAACCACTGAGTCTACTAACTTTGCATGTAACGCTTCTTGGAGGTTCTCTTTTTCTTTGATGAAAATAGCAAGATGTTCTTGTACAAAGGGAAGGTTAAGCACGGTCCCAGCTCTGAAAAAGAAAGTTTAAAATTTCTTTGTAAACATGCAGTCTTAAATCACTAGTACACTATTACAAACAGACTACATAGTTAATCATTCTCACTGTGCATGTACAGCACCTTACTGCCCAGGCAAAGGTACGATATGGGTGGCAATAATTAGCCTTGGCAGAAGATCGAACAATAGAGATGTACGAGATTGGTATGAGATGGTGCGAAAGTCCACAGTGCCATTTAGCGACTGGCGATTTTCTGCTTTACCCAGAATAATTTTCTGCATGACGTAACATGATAACGTAAAAAGCTATAACTTCTTTCTTATTGCTATCTTAAAAGTAATTATCGGGCGCTTGATTTAACACTACGGCAATGTGCTGACAAACATGGACAAAGAGTGAGAAGAAAGAACTGCCGCTTACGATGGTCTGTCATCCGGGGACTTGGATAGGAGCTGTTTGATAAGCGCCCCTAAAGAGGATGAATACTGTGGTGGGACCTCCTGGACGCAGAGGGAAAAAATGGAACATTAGTAAGTTTAAATGGAGGCCTTTACGTAAGAAACGTTCGTTGATCCAATATTTACATTTACACTACTCGTTCCTTTATCCTGATGACTCGCTCACTATATTAGAAACTTCATAAATCTGTGTCAAGCTAATAGCCTCGTCAGCAATCTTCCTCCTTCGTAAGAAGATAACGCGAGGAGCCCATAAAGCGTCCGGGTGGGAGGCTTAATCTAAAGCTAAGCCTCATCAACACGGACTTTTTCGGAATGAATCTCTGGAGACAGAATCCTAGGGGTGTTATCGAAGGAGAGAACGGCAATTTTTTTTTTTCCATTTTGGTAGATTTGCAAAACTCATCCCACCCTTACAAATAACAATAATGATCCCCACCCTACCCTTCTCATATAACAATTAGTACAAGACTCACCCCATGATCTACTTTGACGATCTTGTAAAATAAACTGACAAAGTTCGATGCGTCAAAAGCGTAACGTAATGCACACATCTCAAACAGAAGACAACCAAGAGCCTAACATGGACAAAAAGGAATAAAATATTTATTAATAATTGAAACCCGATTAACTTATAAAGGCGTTACAGTATACTACATGTAAGTCAGCTTTGCGATCTACATGTATAAAGTATTGTGCAAATGAAATGCAAACGAAATTCGCGAAATTCGGTATTTTTAACGAAAATAAAGGAAATTTCGTCGAAAACAAAACTTCGAAGAACTTTCTTCAAAAATTCGGCAACTCATTGTTTCTACTTATGCGAAGGGCTCGTAAACCTTTGCAACGAAAATTCGCGTTACCTTGTGAAATCTCGTTCAAAAAACGCTACACGTTTTGAAAATTCACTTCTGTAAATTCAAAAAAGATTTCATTCTAAACGAAATTTTCCTATCGTTCTGTACATGTTTGTAATACAGGTTTTCGGGGATTTTCAGGGAAAGAACGCAACATACAGCTGTAAGCAATACCCTTTGAAGGGCAATCATGTCCACACAAGCTTACCCAGACATCAGCTTTAGAGCTGTATGGCATATCTTGACATAATTCTGGACTAAGATAACACGGTGTACCACAACAAGTCTGAGCCATGTCAAATGTGTTTTCCATCATTCGTGCAATTCCAAAATCACCTGGCAATAACAAAAGAACCCGTCCTTTTTTAAGTTTAAGATGCACCATGGAAATTCTCATTCAGCCAAAAGTTTTTTTGTTTATTTTTTTTTTCCTGAAACTGGAGACGTCACATGTACCACAAATTATATGATCTCACAATGCATGCATAACTCAAGACAAACAAACTTCCCAAAGAAAAAAATAGGGATAGTGGTACAGTTCATCAGTTGTGTGAGCTAGATTTGCAAGAGCTATATTTATTGTTTTAATATGGCAAAGTGCAGGGCTCTCAAAGATAATGAATTTTACTTGTTTTCTTTCTGTGTTGAAATTACTACATATCCACCCAAGGGCATGTTTAAAAGATGAATAATGGCAAAATGATGAAATGACTCTTAAAAATGTGGGACACAGTTAACCCATTTTATTATTGAAAGCTAACCACCTTCAAGTCAGTGATATTTAGGCTAACCCAAGTGCTATTTAGGCTAACTGAAGTGCTATTTAGCTTACCCATAGTGATGCATAACCTACATGTAGATGGCAGGCCTAAAACAGGGGAGAGGGGAGGAAAAGTAGGCGGGAGAGCGGGGATGGAAGGAGATGGTGGGGGAATATTTCCTCTTCTTCCTCACAGTTTTTGCCTTCCCTGCAAACCTGTTCCTCATTTTCTCCAGCAATACTGAGGCTAGCGAAATGATGCATACATTTATACCTATTTTGATGACACCTTTCTTGGTCAAGAACACATTCTGTGATTTTAAATCTCTGAAAAAAAAACCCAGTTAATTAAAGGTTAATGTTAATTCAAAAAATAGACCCACCGTGCTTTAAAGAAATGCCAATTGAAAGTCAGTATGACACCAAAGAAGCTCAGAGAGAATGGAATTACTCCACCTGCAACTGTTGCTCAGTTCTCATGTGATATTGTGAAAAATTAACTAAATCAAAGGAAACTTACATGTAGCTATTATAGATGTACATGTATTATGTCTTTTGTAGTGTAAATACTCAAAAGCAGGTATCAAATATATTGGCAGATGGACACAGTTAAAAGATGACTTCCTTGGAGGGCCTTTTAAGGGGGGGGGGGGGTTTGCATGTTCCCTTGATCCCTTAAAAACTTCATTTTATTTCCCTTCTTTGATTCCCTACTAATAAAATCCATTGTTCCCTAAACTTTTTTTTTTGTCAAAGTTCGGTTAAATTGTAGATATTATACCCTGTTCCCTCAGATCTCCCAAAACTATCCCCTGTTCCTTGAAATAAAATAATCACGTTCCCTCCTTCAGTCCCAAAAACCTGTGGGAGGCCCTCTACTTTTCGGAGATTACTTCGAAAACATGACAGTTCATATAAACCTTTTTGTTGG